AGACTAAAGGAAAAAAGTTTAACACAAATTAAGAAAGCTAACATCTTAAGTAAATCCTTTGTTTAAAAACCTTTGAATGTTAAGGGTAACATTAATGTTTCTAGTGTGGATGATGTTACACATAATTGAGTGTAGTTAAAACTACTATTCCTAATAGTTATTGTATAAATATATAGTACAAGGTTGTATTTATGAGTAATAATATAATGCTGTGGTGGGTAAGGATTATTCACTAAAAGCTATTGCATATATATGAAACTAAGCCTACATCTGTTTGGGTGTTGGAGGCTTTAAACTGACTAACATCATTTCATTTAATGAATAAAGTAGTTACATAAACTGAGAGAGAGACGTTTCATCAAAGTTTTTATCTATTAAGCACTAAATTAAAAGGATGGTTGACGTATGAAAGTGTTGTGTGCTACGTATATCCCAGGAGAAACTTGCATACTAAATAGATTGATTTATTGTAATATTTCTTTCCAGGCCTTGGATAAGATTCGTTATGAAAGTTTGACAGATCCTTCAAAACTAGAAAGTTGTAAGGATCTGTATATCAAGATTATACCCAACAAGGAAGATCGCACTCTCACAATTATAGACACTGGTATTGGAATGACTAAAGCTGATATGATAAACAACCTGGGAACTATTGCTAAATCTGGCACTAAAGCTTTCATGGAGGCCTTACAGGTAAGACAAAATTAACAAATAATTAACATTTACATTGCAGTAACAAAACTAAATTATTTAAGCCACCAACAACTTTGCAAAAAAATTTGTATTAGCTAGCAGAAGAAATTAAAATTAAAAACATATATATATTAAAAAAAAAACTATTGCTTTAAAAAGAAGGGGAGATTTTAGCTACTTTGAAATTATTCTACTTACTAGTGATCTGTTCCATCTCAAAACTTGCATCAACCCTATAACATTAAGAGCAATGGCTGTTGTATCTGTGATTTAAAGTATTTGATGTAGTGAATAACATGCTAGGGTTTTAGCATCAGTAATTGAAACTGGGTCATCAAATATAGTATGTTATATGCCCTATAAGTTATCCCAGTACAAATAATGTTGATTTAGTTGTTTGTAGTACCTTGTATACTACACTGCCTCAAAATGATGTGAAATTTTCTACAGTTATATGATGGTTTTAACAATGGAAGTAGGAAGTAAATAGAGACAAAACTTGGACCTATATACTTAATATGTTAAACTTCACAATCAGTATTAAAATTCATAAGATCATAAATTGGGTATTTCTGGGAGTACCAATAACAGCCCAAATGTTTACAGTATTATTCTTGTAATTCGAATATAGTTTCATAGAAAATACTTCATACTCAAAATAAAAATGAATCAATATATTAACAATTTGTTGTCAATTGGATATTGATCTTGAGTGTTGGGCATCATGCATTATTCACTTAAATTCAGCTGAACCATACTTTTGTAAAGCAAACGTTTGCTACATCTTTGTAAAAAGAAGCCATTAAGAATCTTTTAAATCATCTAAGTAAAACTGTTCCAAAACGGTGCTTTATTTAGTTTTACAGAGCATTCCATGGTTAAGCTTGCACTCACAAAGGACTGAATTAATATTCAGTGGTTTCAACAAAAAGAAACATCAACCAAAGAGGTTTTCTACAAGGAAACATTCTCTAAGGAAATAATTCAATGTGTATTAAATGCAGTTATACTCTGCCAAATTAAAAGTTAAATTTTGGCAATTTTGTATTTAAAAGGCTATAATTTTTGCAATTCCTATTCGTAACTAAAACTGCTTTGTTCAATATTCTTCAGTCTATGGTTCCAACAAACTGATATTTTAGTGTTCCAATTATTTCATTTGTTAGTCTACTTTCCATGCCTTTTTTGCATGTATTAAGTTTTTGTGCACTTTAATCAGTTAGATTTTTATATCTAGGCAGGAGCAGATATATCTATGATAGGCCAGTTTGGTGTGGGTTTCTACTCTGCCTACCTCATTGCTGATAAAGTAACTGTTACATCCAAACACAACGATGATGAACAATATACGTGGGAGTCATCAGCTGGTGGATCTTTTACAATAGCTTCTGATCATGGTAAGATATAACCTCTTGTGATTCTACTGACCCATCTTTATATTGAACTTTATATTGGTAGTAGATTATTTTATGATACTTGTTGGATTGTGTGCATTATATAACTATTGTAAATACCACTTGATGTCTCTAAACTTTGAAAGTTAATATCATCAGTATCATATAACTAACTGTTTAATATAAGTTTTTTCTTTGTATACTTGATAGAATAGAATAACAACAAGTCAATACATTTGCTTTTTTTTGCAAGGGTTGATTTTTAGGAATAATGAAGTTATTCTTGTAGCTAAAATATTTTGTTTTTAAACCAGTAAACTTTCATCAGTCTAATAAGTTAATAATTTAATTTTTTTTACTGGTTGAGATTATGAAATGAATTCCATTAACCCATTTACTGTGGCTGTGAGGTATATTTCTTAGTGCTCTCACTGCAAGTGAAACAAATGTATCCCATTGTTGATGCTGTTTATGCCTTCCTCTGCTTGGTCCATGTTCATCATCTTGACCATCATCACTAGATGGAGAGCTATCATCATGTCTCATTGCCTCTCCATCATGACACATTTGGATAATACTTGACTCGCTTTCACTGTTTTCTAAGTTGAGTCAAGTGCATCAAGCATATTTACATAGTAATTGTGTTACTACTTGCTGCTCTAGTGATGCAGGCACAGTTGGCGTGCAGTTATTGTACATTCCACTTGGGCGTCTTGTTGGTAACTGAAGGGCTCAGTGGAAAACATCGAGGGAAGCCATATATCAACATTAGGTGGGATGCCAATAAATACTTCCCAACTTATTTTACTCCTATATTCATGGCAATTTTGAATGATAATGAAGAAATATTTGTCCCAGTCACAGTGTGAGGGGGTGGGAGCACTGGGAAATATGTCCCAGCTGCAGTGAAATCATTATATGCTAATGTTGCATTTTGATGAGTCTTGCAAGGGGAAAATATATTATACAGTATCGAGGGGGGGGGGGTAAAAAAGGATGAGGGGCCCAAAATCAGAGGAAGCACCAGAGCCCAGTGTTTCTCTCCTGGGCCCAGTTCTTTCCTCCATCATATTTTTCAGTAAACTATATGGAAACAATTTTGCTTTAATAGGTGAACCTCTTGGAAGAGGAACCAAGATAACATTATACCTCAAAGAAGACCAAACTGAATATTTAGAAGAAAGGAAAGTAAAAGAGGTTGTGAAAAAACACAGTCAGTTCATTGGTTATCCAATCAAGTTAATGGTGCAGAAAGAAAGAGAGAAAGAAGTTTCTGATGATGAAGCAGAGGAAGAGAAAGAAGAGGACAAAAAGGATGAAGAGGAAACACCAAAAATTGAAGATGTAGGAGAAGATGAGGATGAGGATAAAGAAAAAGATAAAAAGAAGAAAAAGAAAATTAAGGTAACAATTATAATTTGCTTCAAATTATAATAATGGTTGCATGTAATTTTGTGTAGTTATTAATGTTATTGTGTAGTATTCTGATTATTGCAGTGATACTTGTGCTTATAATAGGGACTTCTCGTGTAAATAGTGGCAAAACTTCTGCTGTAATGTAGAGTAAATGTAACTACTTAGAGTTCATTTTCACTTTGAAAATTTTTACTTCAAATGTTGAACAAAAGAAGTAAAAAAAGGTGTGAAATACATCTGACTTCCATTAATATTTTTAAGGAAAAGAAATAATAAAACTAATTATCACTCATTTTAGTTCGTTTTTAAAAAATAAAAATATTAATAAAGTATATATATACTAACTTAGGTACTCAGGAATCAGGTCTTCACAGTTATCCATGATGAATACCCTTCGAACATACAACTTGATATTGTTCTTTTGTTTTCTATTTTCAAATAAATCAAAAGGAGCCCTCTTGGGAACAAAGAGAAGTGCTTTAAACTCCAACTGGCCTTCCACTGAAAAGTGTTTCACAGCTAGATGATCCTCCCAGTCATTAGTCAGGCTTTTGTAGAATTCACCATACTCCTCCTGACTGATGTCATCAGGATTTCGCATCCAGATAGGCTTAGTTTTGTTCAGTTCCTCATCTTCAGTGTATTTCTCCTATATTCATAGAAGAGAAATATAAAAGCTTAGGGATGTTTGATATATTTCCAAATTGAAGAATGTAACAAAGCTCTAAGATAGTGATAAACCATAATTGTAAGATTTTCATCAAGCTTTTTGTTCCATAATGGTATTATTGTTAGCATGTAATTGCATTTGCTTGTATTATGTTTCATTTATATTCTTATTCATTTTTTTCACTTACCTAGATTTCATAAAGGGTGTTGTAGACTCGGAAGATCTGCCCCTGAACATCTCTCGTGAAATGTTGCAGCAGAACAAGATCCTAAAAGTGATTAGGAAGAATTTAGTAAAGAAATGTTTAGAGCTTTTTGAAGAAATTTGTGAAGATAAAGACATGTTCAAAAAATTCTATGAACAATTCAGCAAGAACTTGAAGGTAATAATGTTGTGTATAACATTTGTTTGAAATTTACAATATAATATGTATTGAATAGGATTGTATTATAAATACCTTTGTACAAATCAGTGTAGAACATTTACTTACAATATTTTTATATTTACTGTTATTTGTGATACTCATTTTGTGTCTAATTTAAAAGTAGGCATTTTTTAAATATTTTGGCATAATCTGGTATGTTCAAGAATATCTTGGACCTTTCTTTTACTTAACTGTTCTATAAACAATTTAATCTTTATTTTATTGTATTCATCTACAATTAATCTATTATCCAGTTACAAATCAAATTTGTGTCATACATTATTTGACAAAAAAAAGGAATTTTTTGTGACTTGTAAGAGACGAATAGAAAACTTGTTAGAATGTATAATAAATGTACTCAAACTGTTGTTAAATTGTTTTTTCTAGTTGGGTATTCATGAAGACTCTCAGAACCGCAAGAAGTTAGCAGAGTTCTTAAGGTATTACACCTCTTCTTCTGGTGACGAGATGTGTTCCCTGAAGGACTATGTGTCACGTATGAAGGAGAACCAGAAACACATCTACTTTATCACTGGTGAATCTAGAGATCAGGTATCAAACTCTGCTTTTGTGGAAAGGGTGCGAAAGAGGGGTCTGGAGGTGATTTACATGATTGAACCTATTGATGAGTACTGTGTACAGCAGCTAAAAGAATATGATGGTAAAACACTAGTCTCTGTCACCAAAGAAGGACTAGAGCTTCCAGAAGATGAGGAAGAAAAGAAGAAGTGGGAAGAAGATAAGGCCAAGTTTGAGAGCTTGTGCAAAGTCATCAAGGATATCTTGGACAAGAGAGTTGAAAAAGTGAGTGACAGTCTTAAGAGTATAGAGTTGTAGTTCTACTTACATAAAATATTAATATATGACGTTTGTTTCAGGATTTTTGAACAACTTAAAGCACTGGTCTCATACTTATTGTATTAGTTACTTCTCAAGGAGAAGTATATAATTTATTCTCAAGTTTTTAACTAGTTTGTACATGTGTGATTACATTAACTATAGAAGTTCAATCTTTCATATCACCATTTAAATAACCAAGTATTTTTAACATTTACACTGTTTTTGTCCACAAATATTAATATTGTATTAAGAACATAATTGTTTTCTGTGGCTATTTGTTATACCATTCCATGAAATAGCCTCAGTGAAAGAACAAAAGTTTGAGACTTTCAGTTAAAATCACTTTGTCACCATTACTTAAAGTGTTTCCAACTGCTGTTTAGTTAAATAAAGCTTTGCTCTTATTCTTTTAATTTTACTTACAATTGGATCTTACAAGCACATTAGCAGTTTTCTCTTTGATTAGGAAGAAGAAAAATTTGGAGAGTTCACGTATATATTCATGATGTATTCCCATTATTTTTCTTTAATTCTGAAAATATACTTTGACAACAAATAGTAGCCTTGTCAAAGATTTGACTTCATAAATGGTTATGTTATTTTTCCTTTATTTACCCTTTTAAGGAATCATTTAGGTTTTATGTAATCCAGAACATCAGGACTGTCTACAAATTGCTATTGTTGTTATTACTGTGTCTTTAAACATTTTTAGTAGCTATCTTGTAATTATAAATACTTACATTTTGCTTTAAAAAGTTATAATTTACTTCTAGACAGGTTCATTTCATAAACTTATTTTTCTGAATTTTTAAAAATTATCTTACAGGTAGTGGTATCCAACAGACTTGTAAGTTCCCCTTGTTGTATTGTCACCAGTCAGTATGGTTGGTCAGCTAATATGGAAAGAATTATGAAAGCTCAGGCTCTTAGAGAATCTAGCACCATGGGTTATATGGCTGCCAAAAAACATCTGGAAATTAACCCTGACCATCCTGTCATGGAAAACCTGAGACAGAAGGCAGATGCTGACAAGAATGACAAGTCTGTTAAAGTAGGTATTTTATTTATTAATTAATGTTAAGAGAGACATTTATCAACCAATAATAAATTTTTCAAACTTGATTAAGTATTGGCTTTTAGTTTGCTTAATATTATATGACATTGTTTCTATAGAATATTGTTAGAAAGGAAATTATATTATCAGATTCTTCTAAACTGTTTGTTTGCAATAGCATTACTGTATTCTTCTACCATTTTTTCCTTGCACTTGAGTTTAAACATCTTTGGCAGTGTAACTACAGTGATGTCTAAAGATTTAATGTATTTCATTTTGAGGTTATAAATTACTACTTGATAATTATCTGTATGTTGTGGGAGAAGAAAGGTTAGACTATCTCCGAATATTTTGGAAGTGAAATGTATGTTGTTATATACATCGGTAAATATTCATGCCACTTAATAGAATAAAGTAACCAAGGTACATAAATTTCCTCATGCAGGATTTGGTACTGCTGCTATTTGAGACTGCATTGCTATGCTCTGGTTTCTCTCTGGAAGATCCTCAAAAATATGCTTCTAGAATCCACAGAATGGTGAAGCTTGGACTTGGTATTGATGAAGAGGAAATGGCTAGTGCTGAGGCTGAAAGTACTGAGGATATGCCTCCATTAGAAGGTGATGAGGAAGATGCATCTAAGATGGAAGAAGTAGATTAACTAGTCTGTTATTAACGTTTATGTGTATTTTGTTTTTTGTGTATATATATATTTATTGACTTCTATGTTTTTTATTGGTACTTCTAATAAAGATTTCACTTCACAAGTAAATAAAATAGTAGTTCATAATGTCATAAATACTATTTAATTCATTGCAAATTAATATAATGATAAGTAAAGTGTTTTTAAGAAATGTTAATATCTTGACATTTTGAAGGTATGTTAACTCATGATTACTGGAATAATTTTAAGGAACGAAAAACATTGTTACTTTGAATCTCTAGTTTTGAGGAATTTTCAAGCTCTGAAATTATCAATGTTCAAAGTGAAATAATGCACTACCTGCCATATTAAATAAATAAAGTTTTATCCCAGTAAAAAGCAGTAATGTAATAGTTCTGTTATGCACTGATATACAAAAATTAAAGGGAAACAAATAATTTAAGAAAATTCTAGAGAGTAGGAATAACGCTACAAATTATATACGAGTATACTATAACCTGGTGAATCAATGGTCCATTCAATTCATTTCGATGGTCGGAATGCAAGATGGTCTATAATATATTTGTGCACTTGAATAAACGAAAATATATTATACCCGAAGATTTTTAGTTACTTCATAATTCTTAAAATGTTTTTTTTTTTAAAAGTGACAATGAAAGAAATTCAGTCATTAAGAAGAAAATAAGTATTGCTATTTACAGGTTTGGATGAATTTTTAATACTTTTATTTACACAATTACAAGAATCTAGGAACACTTCCAGTCCAATTTTCCGATAATAGCCTGAGCACTAAAGTAATTGCAAGTTGTGTGTATTTTCTTGGTGCTTACTTCGTTTAGTTATATGATATTGGACTAACGTGTTGAAGAAGCAACTTGTGGCTAAGGCATAATAATATGATTGTACATTGTAATACATGACTATTTGGAATAACAACTGAATTAACATTTGAACGTTGTCTGCTCAAGTTACTGAAAGAAGACAACCTCTTCACTCTAGGTCGCTAATTAAACTTTATACATGTTTTGAGAAAGTTACACTGTTTTATTATATATTTAACAATTTTAAGAAAGCCATATCTAACGAACAAGTATTACTATCTGTTGACAATATTATTAGCAGATGACAACATATTTTGTTTATAACACTGCATTATAATAGGACGGGAGAAACTTATTGAATAGTTAAAACAATTCCTTTGCAATAAATATATTTAATACATGAAGAAAATGATAATATTTAACCCTTTTTTTTTCCTCGTCGAAAAAATTTGAATGGCATTTTCAAAATTGGTAATTAATAAATGTGTAACTTGGTCTTAAGTATGTCAACAAAAAAAAATTGAATTGAAATTGAGCAATTTGATCGCAGTAGCTGATTACCTGTTGTCATAGTGCATGTAAAAATTACCTGTTCTTATAATGGAGAAAAATAAGCAAAGACCTGGAAACCGGAGAGTATTAAGGTGCTTTAATAGCTCTCCTTCACTAATACTAAGATGAAACAAATATTCTACTTCAGTGCTATTCTACATTTTTCGATAAACACTAAAGATCAAAGGACAAAAACATTTAGTTAAAAAAGCTAACATTTTTCTGTATCCAAAAGAAAAAAAAATTTTACTTTTACCATGGGCAGATATGAGGAGGGCTTTTCCCTCTAAAATTGTTTTCTGCCCGTCAAAGTGTTTCCATTTTTAAATGTATGCAGAACTAATGTTTTAACAACACTTTGGGCTCACAATTTTTTGAGGTCAAACACCCCTAGTAATAGCATGCTGAGTGTGACCAGCCATCTCACACCAGTAGGTATTAAGTTTTAACTTGGGAGCATTGTGATTACTTAACCCCCCCCCCCCCCCCCAAGTGTTTGATCCTAGATACGCCTGTGACTTTTCCCTTTCCTGAAAATTGTCAAAAATGAATTTACCTTACCTTCAGTCTCGCACCGTATAAAAAATGAATTAATAACGGTAAATAAATTACGAATGTTACAAAATTCAACGAGTTGTCAAAAATGTTAAATGAAGGAAAACAAAAAACGTGAAAACTAGACTTTTTCACAACGTGTAAAATCAAACAAAAATATATTTCTTTGTACCTTGAAACTTTTATAGACTCTCTGCCCTAGGAAGAAAACATTAAAATTATAAGAAACCTACCCATTGTCAAAATTAGCTAATAATGATTCTGAGAAATACATGCGTGACAAGTAGCAACATTTAAGAATTGCAATGAGTCGACTGGGTGAGAGATGAGTGTTCCCTAACGGTGGTACTGAACTATGGATTTGCAGTACCATCGTTTGCTTCATGTTACCGCAAAAATCACAATTAACATATACTGATTTCGATTTTTGGGGCCGTGTGTGTTATAAGGGTGATAGTCATTGTCCATGAATTGGTAGTGGATGCTGTTGACTAGCTGCTGTCCCACTAGCCTATCAGTTCAAAACAAAATTGGGAATGGCTATCGGAAGTAGACTTTGCATAAATGGCTGAAAAACAAAAGCAAGATTGGAGAAGTGGAAATATATTAACACGGTATTCAAGTAACGAAACAATTTGGGGAACAGTACACATTTTTTTTTTTTTTTAAGTTGACACTATTACGCCCAAGATGAATTATAAGTGAGAAATGACAAAAGCGCAACTAAAATATTGGGAATAGTCCTTGCTAAATATATTTAGATAAACCTTTGGGATTTTGCGGCCATAATTAGTAATTAATTGCATTTACATATAAATAAGTCAAAAGTTGAATTTGTTTAATGTATAGTATCACATCATAAACAATTTAATATATTTTTTTCCGCATGGCTAACTGGTTAGTTTGTCAGTCTATAGATCTTTGGGTCCAGCATTCTTCATTTAGCATTATAAGGGTAATGGTCAAATCTCACTGTTTGGTCAGATAAGGGGCAACAAAAGAGTCTGTGAGTTCATAAGTAAGGACAGACATCCCTTGAGTAGTTTTGCCCAAATATCCGAAAACAAATCCTATGTCTATATCATAGAATTATGGCTGGGTACCAATGTTGCCAACTCAAAGCAGTAGATTAAACTGCCAATTCTCTATTAAATCTTTTTGGTGGTTTTCTTTTCTAAGAGTCGTGGTACACAGATGGGATTGTCGCTTGTTCCTAGTTGCCACTGGCTGTCCTACTACAGAGGAGCTCCTTCTAAGTAGATGGTCAAATGAATTCTATGGCAGCTCCATTCTTGATGATCCTCTAGAAGTGATTTAACAGAAACCCTGGACTCCTCAGCAGGTTGAGTTTCTAAAGAAAAAGACTTCTCTGAAGTTACCCACTTAGTCATTCTCTCACCAATGTACTTCCAAAAATGAGCACAAGGAATAACCATTGGTTTGAATTGCCTATACTTCTGGATTATTGAAACCACATCATTGATTATTTTTAATACAACATATGGCCCTTCCCAGCACCTGCTTAGCTGTTGAGTTCATCCTTTCTTGCATTATGGGCTGTACAGCTATATAATGTCACCCGAATGGAATCACGTTTTATCAGCATCAACATCATAGCAACTTTTCATTTTATCACTAACTGATTTTAAATCTTACCCAGGTAAAGTTATGTATGTTATGAATGAGATTCCACAATCTTTCTATATATCCTGTGTAAGACTCTTCTAAGTGACTATTCTCTGGATGTGATTATAAAAGATCCAGTGACACTTTAAGATCTCTCCCAAACATCAGTAATGGTGGTATGTTGCTTGTAGTTTCATGTACTACTGTATGCATTAGTAACAGCAAAATATCTTGATCCCATGTTTTCTTATGTTGATCCACATAAATGGCGAATTGATTTAACAGTGTGTGATTGTATCACTCTACATATGTTGTTTGGATCTTTTTTATCCCAAGGATCTGACATATTCCAACAAACGAGGCTGATTCAAAGTTTTGCCCCTAATCTGATTTAAATTTCATAGATATGCCATATCTTGAAATATATTAATTGGCGAGTTTCCTTGCTAAACTTTCTGCTTCCTGGTTAGGAACAGCACACGCTTCTGGCCATGATATATCTACTCCTTTTGTTACTCTGTGGCAGAGAATCAAGCCCACTGACAGCAACTTTCACTCAAAAAAATGGTCCAACACAATAATGCTATAGTTGCCCGTACTGTTTTTTTTTTTAGTCACCTTTACACTCATCAATTTACACCAATTCTCTATAGATCTTGGCCACATAACAGAACGACTCTTTTAATCTCTCTAGTTTTCTAAACACCTAAATGTCCAGTTATTGGAGATGATGAATTACTGTAGGATGTAGATATTGTTGAAGTATCAACTGTAAGCATTGCTTCTATCCACTAGTATCTTTTCACGTTTAACGTAATAAGTGATTTTTAAGCATAATGAATCCCACTGTGCCCGATATATTTTTGTCTTTAGGCTGAATAGGAGCAACTGTTTGCCATAAGGGTCTTTCTGCACTACTCTTGAGTCATTGAATGATTGGTTTCAAACTCTATCTTTTGTCTAAGCATCTTTCAGTTAAGTGTTGATCAACACTACTTCTTCATCATTAAATGTGTATGTTACATCTTGGAATCTGCTCTGTTATAGTTTAGGTTGGTAGTCTTTGCTATGTTGGTATGTCTAAAGTGTAAATATCTGCCCATATAAGTAATGACTTAAGGCTTGAGCAACACTTCCTAGCTCTTTTCAAATTGTACAATACCATCTCTTAACGGCATTCATTGGCTTGCTATATTAGGCAATCACGTGTTCTTTTCCGTGTTGTACTTGTGACATGACTGTTCCCAGTGCAAAATAACTAGCGTCTATATTTAAAGTTAATGGATATTCAAGAGTTGAATATGCTAATACAGGAGTAGTGGTCAATTCTTTCTTCAGTTTTTTGAATGCTTGTTCACAATCAGCAGTATAACAAAACGAGCTATGTCAGTGAATGATTTTACAAAATGGCGATAATAAGAGCACAATCCAAGAAATCTTTTTACCTCACGCAAATTATCTGGTGTTAGCCAATTATGGACACACTCAATCATTGATGGATCTGTAGACATTCCCTCACTGCTGATTATGTGTCTAAGGGAACTTACCTGTCAGTGGAAAGTTCACATTTTTTGGAATTCAGCTAAAGATACTTTTTCCATAACTGCTTCAGAATTTTATTCGAGGTATTGTTTCCTTGACTTATTAATAGCTATTGATTCCTTACAGTCTCACATCCACGACAACTCCCTTCTTGTATCTTTTGGAAGAAGCCCATATTCACTACAACCTTTTTTTTTTTTTTAGTTCTTGTTTGTCCTTTCAAGTTGCACTTAAAACACTTATTGTCATTTGGTTTATTTCCTCCATTCTGTGTAACTAGTCTAA